AGCTAGTTATATTGGCCGCACAAAGCGCACACTTTCCAAATGCATCCCTGTACATTATCTGGCATGGTTAGCAAAAGGACAATGCAAGACAGTAAATATTCAATTCTTGAGCACTTGGTGAACTCAAGCCACGTAGGTCCACCAGAGTCGTCTTTCAAGATCATCTGCAAGGTGAGACCAAATGGTACAAAGGGCGTCAGGTTTCGACTTTTGTGTATGGCGGAGACGCTGGCAACTCGTCAATACAATCCTGAACTTTGTATACAGAAGAAGTTTGTCCAGTCTCTTATTCTACCTTGTTGAGGAGTGTTTAAACTATCTTTGGAGTTTAGCTTAGACACGCTGAAAGCTTGTTAATCATTCTTATATGGTCCTATATGTTGAACTGTCTTTGTGTTTCATTATCACTAAATCTAAATTTCCATAATTTGTATTATATCTACCGTGTTAATATTTACCTTGCTGAATATTATTTATATCTTAACAAACTATCACTCACCTCTTATTCATGGAAGTTGGTATTTATTTTTTTGTCACCATGTCCATGTGTTCATATAAGTTAATCTTATAAATCTAGTGTAAATAATCCTGTAACTGGAGAGTTTTCAGCCCAAAAATCCTGTCGAAATTTATGAATTCATGAAATGCTGTTGTGTTTTTCACAGTATTGCTTGTTCTGAATTTACTACGGGAAAGAAAGGCAGTTAAATGGTCAACTACCTCGGTTTGTAAACTTAAGGTCCTGAGTTCAATACGTGTTTGGTTCAAGGGGGCTTGCTGCTAAACAATCCCCAACTAGGATAAAATAGCTTATCAGTACTCTCTGGTTCTCAGTAGTTCTCTAACTGATGTCAGCTTATGATTTAACCTGAAACTAATCGAATCCCAGCAAACCCTAAATATATGTTTCAGTTCATACATTTTTTTCTTCCTTCACGTTCCCAGTGGAACATAGGGCTTCAAGCTAGTGGCTTGAAGTTTCTTTAGCAGTGTTTATTTTACAGGATGGGGTTGCTAGCCTAACCTTTCCTCTTTACCGCGATGATTTCTGACTTAGTGAGGTAAAGGAGTGCGTCAGCCGGGGATCGAACCCCGGACGGTGTGCATGGTCGGCGAGCTACCTAACCGCTATGTCACCGACGCACACTTCAGTTCATTACATAATCCCCTATATTTGACTGGCACAGTGACATTCAACGGTTCTATGACAATGCCACGTGCCAGGAAAACTCAGGGAGGCGTTCGAAGTGAATACAGCAGTAAGATGAGGCCGCCTGCCTATTATCACCGATGATATTCCTAATTGTGGTGGAGTGGATTATTCATCAGACTGTGCGTGGGAGCGAGGAGACAGGAATACTCTGGACCACCAATGGGAAGACTCTAGAACCTCTGAATTTCGCAGATGACATATGTCTAATGTCACACAAACTAGAAAACTTACAGGCGAAAGCCAGCAAATTGGGTGAAGAAGCACTCAGTGAAAACAGGATTGCAGGTGAACACAGAGAAGACGGAAGTGATGAAGATAACCAATCAACAGCAACAACAACCAGCACCAATTACCATCAACGGCAGAGGTTTAACAGAGGTTACCTCCTTTACTTATCTAGGCAGCCAGCATCGTTTCAACTGCAGACGGAACGGATGAAGATGTCAAATTCAGAATCGGAAAGGCAAGATACGCCTTCATCAACCTCAACCAGTTTGAAAATCTTCTGCACTCCACTGCATAAAGAATGAGATTCAGATTTTCAACACAGATGTGAAGTCAGTCAGTCAGTCAGTTCTTCTATACGGGTCAGAAACTCGCACTCTGTGCAACGAAAAGGATTTCCAACAGGTTGCACACTTTCATCAACAGCTGTCTTCGCTCGCTGCATACTGAAGATAAAATGGCCAAAAAGGATTAGTAACAAGAAAATGTGACTGTCAACAAACCAACCAAGAGTCGATCTCTAAACAAATATGTAGGAGAAAATGAAGATGGATGGGATATACGTTGAGGAGACCGTCGGATGACATCGCGCGCCAGGCCCTGGAGTGGAATCCAAATGGGAGGCGAAGAGTGGGTCGTCAGTATGAGGGTGATGTGGAGGAGATAGTGTGGCGAGGAGGAGAGGATGAGAGATTATGGATAATCGTGGACCCAGATGAGGAGACAGCAGAGAATAGAAGAAAGTAGAGATGTGTTGTTGAATCCCTATGTTCCACTCGGAACCCAAAGGAATAATAATATAGTGACATGCTGTATTCCACCAACCAAGATTAATAAGTATGAATCAGTGGTTGTGAAATACGATAAGGTATTTCAAGAACTACATACAACTATGAAGAATGTAAGCAAAAATGAATGGATATCACGTAAATAGTAAACAGAAGAGAATGAGGTTGTTCATCAGTGTACTATGAATGATGCTAATTATAACAATAAGCTTGGTGCAATTTTCGCATTCCTTTGTGTTCCATGTGGAATACAGAGCTTTAAAACTTAACGTTTAAGTAGCCCTCGTCGTGTTTTTACGAAGTGCAGTTACTCTCCTTACTCCTAACCTTCCCCCTTTTTCCGGACTCACTACCGCATGGGCGAAATTTAGAAGTGCGTTGGCAGGAAACTAAACCTGAATATGTGTGTGTCTGGCGGACATCCTACTCCTCAACCACCATTAACTAGGCTTGGTACAATAAGAATGCTAATTCGACTTGTGTTGTTGTAAGTGACTACATGACTGGATAAATCATTACAATATATATGATATTTAAGGAATCATGTATATATACATACTTATGTAAATGAACTTGACCTCAAAATTCAGACTCTTCCCTAAACCACTTGTATTTCTAATTTTCATTAGTTCGTGAGGAAGTTCACTCAATAGCTAATCTTTCTTTAGCTAGCCACGTTACTACATCAGAATTGAGACAATGACTTCATTCTTGAACCCATTAAGTCGGTATCCGCTGATCTATGATTTTCAACTGTTACTTACTTGAGTTATCAATTGCTACTGCTGATCGACTATACTTAAACTTGTATTAATCCATCTCAGCAGTAGTACCTTCTCATTGGAACTTGGAGAATTCCATTTGAAATCTAGTTAATAACATTGGTAAAGTTAAACTATCATAGCCAAAACCACAGTGATCTTGAACAGCCAATCAGAATTCAGATACAAAAAACCTGCGAAATCGTTGAAAAATACACTAAAATGTATTGCAAACTTGATATTACACTGTATAGTTTTGTAGCTTATGTGTTGTGAGAATGTCTCCCAGTCAATACACTGACGGCCTAAAGATAAACCGTACCATGCGGAATATGCCCATTCATTCAGGTGACTGTAAGTCATGATACTTTGAGATCCATTGATATTTCTGACACTATTCTTCAGCCTACTCCTAACTCTAACCACCATAATCCTAACTCCTAAACCTAACCTTAACCCTGAACCCTAAACCATAGTCTAAAAAGTCATAAAACTAACTAACAGTGTAGATATACAGAAAAGGTACCTAGAGAAAAAGTGGAATACTGTGTCTGTCTTCTCCAAGTCCAGAGAGGCAGGCATGATTTGACTTCGAATGACCTTTCATAGCATTCCCCGTATATGATCGCCTCTTAAAAGTCAACTTTGAAAGTTCTTGATTCTGGCTGTGATAGTTTAACTTCACTGTAATATTATTCCAGGACTTATATACTCGGTAACTAAATTACCTGCTTTCCGTCAGCATACACTACTGATTAATATGAACAGTGGGGTACCACTCACACCAGTGTTGGCTAGCCTGATCTAAGCGATCTACACACTGGACGACCATTTTGTTTGTGTATGACTGGACTCATCAGTAGTAAACTGGGTCTAACTTACAGAGCCGAATCAGTTGAGACTACCTAGATTCTGATCAGATGACCAGAAAGGATTGGCAACAAAGAACTCTGGCAACCAACGAACCAACCAAGCACTTATTGCTCAACAATAATTCCAAAGAAAGTAAAGATAGATCGAACACACTCTGAGTGACATCGCGTGTGAAGGCCTTAAGTGGAATCATAATGAGGTAAGACAAGTTGGACTTTCGAGGATGACATAGGGGATATTGTGTGAGGCGGAGGAGGAGGTGAAAGCTCACGGGCAACCATGGAACAAGCTAAAGAGGACTGTAGAGAAAAGAAAAAAAGTGGTGATGTGCTGTTTATTCTACTCGGAACCCAAGAGAATAATGTTAACTTCTGTCTAGCTGCTTGAGTGAAGCAGTAATACATTGAACCAGTTTCTCAGTTTACAAAATAAACAGTCCCTTTATTAACCAAAATTATTCAGTTTACGATATATGTGTAACCCATTTGATACTTTAAACGACAATCACGAAGGCAACAATACATGCACAGTGATATACTACTACTGATTATTTGATATAAGTAGTTGTCAACCACTCATATCAACCAATGGTGCTTACTACCCAAATCGAAGTGATTTGAACGCAAAATAACCATTTACATCGTCTGGGGCCGAATTCATTACCAGTGTACCCAGATTGACTCAGCTTAGATAGTCGAGTCAGATCTAATCATCATTTATGCTACCAACCAGATCACGGACAGAAACAGTCATGAATGATGGTCACCTTATACTCTCTAATCTACAATTGACGAATTCCACTCTTGTTTTTCATTAAATCAAAAACTCACAGAATATACAGTATAACCCGTATACACACACTTATGAGTAGTATATAAAGAAAAAAGTAATTTTTTTCAGAAAACAATTATTTCTTCGTCAGGATAATTTTTTATTATTGTTATTATTTGAATTGGACAGTTCACTTTATTTATCAATAATCATTATCATTCAGGCTCATGAGACTGTTTATTTCGTTCAGTTATGTAATATGTATGCATGTGTGTGTGTTTGTAAGTGTGCAGTTCCACATGTATACATGAACGTGGGCATGTGTATGCGCTCAGTATTTGATCTTGTTCAGTATTGTTATTATTCCCTTTATGAATAGTTGTCACCATTGTTATTACTGTTGTTGTTGGTCTCATTATTCATATTTCGTCGAAGATAATAGGCTGAATTCAATTCATTAATATCACAGTCAAGAAAACTAAATAATAATTCTACTTCAAATTGAATTGTTAATTTATTTGTAATATGATGTAATTCTTTAATTACTTGTAAAATTTCTTTAACCCATGGATTTGATGGTTTAATTTGATAACTATATTTAGTATTTTTTAATATTTCTGAAATAAACGGTATAATACAATCCAATGAATTGGGTTTATTTTTGAATGTTGTATAAATTAATGATTTAATATCAACGCATAAAGGAATATCCCGGGCTATAGTTAACCGACCTAAAAATCCACCAAGATGTTTCAATGCTTTACCATTACACGTATCAAGATTTGGTAATTTTAAGATATAATCAATTTCTTTTGTTAGTATTTCTAACAGGAATGTACTAAAATTTGTATAACGTTCTGAGATGAGTAGAACAAATTCAGCATATAAATCATGTAGATTTGGCTCAGAAGCAACACGTCGTAGAATTGAATCAGCTAACCATTGAATAAAATGATGTGGCATAATGGAAAAGACTTCATCAACTTGACGTTTTAAATTACACTCAGTAATATTATTCATTATGAAACAGATTTTTTTCGAAATACGATCTGGTGGTGGAATACATTTTGCTGTGAGCCTGGATTCCATTCTGTTCCTGCTGTCTTCGTTGTTTATTTATTCAATGATAAGGAAATAAAGATAAAATATAATTAGATAAATCCAAACAACGTTTAACCGCTTGCTCGCTTGCTCGCCGAAACAGTATTTGCAATGAATTAACAAGGAAGCGTAGTTTGTGTATAGTGTCTTTCTTTCTCTCCTACTTTTGAAATAATATAGCTGAAGTTAAAAAAATCGATAATAACAATAATAAGTATTGATTTTTCTTTGTCTAGAAAAAAAATGATATGAAATTCTTATAAATATAAATGACTGGGGAGATTTGTATCTCAGATTATGTTCTATGAACAGGATAGTTTATTTGTGGAGCTTTTATTGTTTTCCTAGACTATGTATGGAAAACCAAGATTATTCAGAGGACGATTATATCATTCAAGAAGAATTCAAAAAATAAAGCCCAGTTCATATCGAGATCTGAGGTGAAGATATTGTTTACAAAGATGATGAAAGTTTGACAAATATACAGTCCAGCTGATGGAATCCAATTACACCGATATATGTATAGCGATTACATCAATGTTATTCACCATATTAAGTTAGTACGGAGAGAAAACGTTATAAAAACACTCATGCTATGATTTTATGCAACTGAATTAAGTAGAAAGTGTAAAGTAAGTTTTTCAGTGATGTATGATAGTTATCCATAGTATTATATTCTTTTGATTGGCTGATATAAGCCATGGGAACCACTTACATTAATATAAGAATAAAACTTGTGCACTGTGGTAGAGTGTAATTCCATTATGGAATTTGTCTTAAGTACTAGAGAGCAGTAAGCCCGAGGAAGAGGTAATTTTGGGCATGAAGCCAGTAACCCTAGCCCATAAAAAGCAACACGACTGTTGCTGGAACTTCAAAAGCTTGAAGCCTTTTATTTCGCTTGAAACAAGAAAAGCTAGCAGAACAAGCTCTTACTGGACATATATGTTACACTACTGTATGGTTGGAGATTACAGTATGAATTTTGTCATTTTCATACTATTATTCCCTTTTATAAATTTGAACAATGAAAGAAGAAACATTAGCGCAGAATAATCTGGATCCATTTTATTTCGTTGGTTCTCATCAGCTGCGTAAAACCTGAATTTTTTAATAACAATAAAAAGCGTACAATTTTAACAAACCTGTGTCCATTAGCAAGCATATTGTCAGAGCGTCATAGTAAAATAAGGCGTTGAGATTTACAGGGTGTCTAAAGTGCTACGACATATATATATATATATATATCTTGTTAGAGAGAAGTTTCTTGAAAAAATTTACTAACTGTTGTGTTGTTGGGGTGATAACAAAAGAAAATTAGCAATAGTTACGTAATTAGATAAGAGAAGATCAAAATTTTACAATTTTGGCGCACATGAGGTCAGATGAGAAGTTGATGATGTAAAACAGTGAGCGGAACTCAGAAGATCAAGAAAAATTATCTCTAAGAGAGTCAAACGAAAAATAAAGGGAGGGGGTAGAGTGGAAAAACAAGCTAACAAAATTAGAAACAAAGAGTTACTAAGAGGTGAGTCACCAGGGTAATTGAAGTCCAACAGCGGATTCTTTTTTTTCTTTTTTCTTTTGTTACCACCCCAACAACACAACAGTTAGTAAATTTTTTCAAGAAACTTCTCTCTAACAAGATATATATATATATATGTCGTAACACTTTAGACACCCTGTAAATCTCAACGCCTTATTTTACTATGACGCTCTGACAATATGCTTGCTAATGGACAAAGGTTTGTTAAATTGTACGCTTTTTATTGTTATTAAAAAATTCAGGTTGTACGCAGCTGATGAGAACCAACGAAATAAAATGGATCCAGATTATTCTGCGCTAATGTTTCTTCTTTCATTGTTCAACTTTTGTGATTATTGGAACTCATTACCAAGACATACCTAACTGGAACTGATTTCTCCGAAAAATTCGAATTCCTCCGCTACTTAATACGAAGGTTACAGACGGTACCAGTGTGTGGCATCATGTAGTGTTGTATTGTTTACACTGTTTGGTTGCTGCAATGTAACCAATGCTATGTATTTTTCATCTAATACATTTGTTCTCTGACTACGACAGGCCTGTGTTTCTCTTTTGGTAAATCTAAGTAAATATCAATTAAAAGTCAGGCTGAGAAAAATGTATTCTCCCAAGTTTAATCATTTATGACTGGCTACAGAATGAAGTCACCTGGAATTCTAGTAAGAAGTTTTGACCAGTAAGGTCCATCAGGTTGAGTGTAAGGTCGAATACTCATCGATCACAGTGGCTGGCGGTGGCTCTATAGGTCGTGAATTAGCAGAGCTAGCACTCATAGGCCACAGGATGCCATCCCATTGACTGAATGGTCAAAGAGTTCTCCTATTTATCTGAAAGTCCTGGATTCCATCCCTAACAGTGCATTCATAGGTGTGTGCTGCTGAAGAAGCCTAAGTGAGGACTTGTCAGTTATACGAACTAATACGAAATTATGTATCTAACTATAACATTCATTACATTACAAAAAATACAGCATTTACCTCAGAGAGATGTTGAATTAAATTTGCAACGCAAATTCGACTTAACTATACATAAAAATAAAGTTTATTATTCAATATACTTGTACCAAACAATAGAATTTTTCATGTCATAGGTCAAATTATTTATAGTTCATGAGTTCATAAGTGTCAAAACAACAGAAATCTTTACAGTGAGTATATTCATACTTTTCCAATCAACATCAACAGCGTTTTGAATATTATTGATTATTGATGAAGTGAGTGGTTATTCTTGGCCTATGGTTTCAAGTCTTCATTCATATCAGTTAAGAAATAGTTAGTATTGACAACACTAGAGTGTACTTCAGGCATCAAAGTAAGTGATTATGAATCATCACCTGAATGAAGGCTTGGACTTAATGTTCACTTTGAATTTCATTCTATCCGATTATAAACTTCGTATTACAACATCAGAAATATTAAGCGGGGTGGGGGATGAAATGGAGTAAGAGGTTATGTGGATGTGTGTGTCGGTGGATGAGTGGCTGAATAACAGAGGCTTCCAAGTGTACACAAACTGGGATGAATGAGTCCGTTGGATTTTCCTTGTTGTAAAAGTTTTCATATTTCCCAATAAATGAATAACAAAACGATATTGTTGTTACCAGTGTTTCGTTATTATTTGATGCTAATAGTCTAAGAAACTAGTCAGTTACGCTGACTGAACGACTTTGAGTGAGATTCAGATCGGATTCGCCTAGGAATAACTCCGTCAACTTTTGTGTGGCTATCCATCCTGCTAGACCTGAGCTTAGGCCACATGACATGCCGGCTATTTGGTCTGGCCAAACTTAACTGGTCACCAGACTGCTATTAACACCGCCCCAGATAGACAAAGGGGAATATAACCCTATTCAGATATTCCATTTAATATTGAGTGCTTATGACATGAAACATTCTTCGTGATTTCTGAAATTTCTCTGCCATCCGAAATTGAGAACAGAAGTTTAAAAGTTATGACCACGTCGCACATTTGATTAACAGATTTCTATTAAAACTTGAGAAATAAATATTTTCAGTGATTAACATCTGCGGATTAATCTGATACAGAAATTCGAGATATACAACCGCTTGACGGGATATGAAAAATATTGTTATTTAGTTGTTTACAACTGAAAATGGAGCCGAGAACACGAGTTTCGTCTCGTTTGAGGCCCGTCATCTGGATGTACCTGCACTAATCGCATTATAAAAATAATGACAATCATTATCAAGGTGGAGGGGATTTGATAGCAATTTCTTTTTTGGATATAATTACAGCAAAGGTAATTAATTCACACACGAATATTACGAATTATTTTACTTTCAAGTTATATCATACAAGAGTTGACATCTTCTAGATGAATTCAAGGGCAAGGAACTAACAATATCATATAGGTTAATGACATCTGATAATCGATAACAGACCTTTGAATATTCAAATTAATCATAAGAGAAGCACACAGGAAACTGTATTAGTTATATTTATGCTAGTCATAAAAATAAGCGAACTACATAGGACTGATGTTTTGCAAGAGATCAAACTTTTAAGAATACCTTTAGATTTTGCAGCGGTGGTTGTAGGCTAATTACATGAAGGTTTGCAGTAATAGTCTAAAAGTTAAAATAAGGATATTATGATGATCGAATAATAGAACTTAGTTGTCCAGTTCGTTTAAATTTTATGGACTAATTTTACTGGATCTAAAAGTTGTTTCTACCTCTGTTGACACGTCGACTCCATGATGCTTCAAGATTAACTTGGATATTATTCCTTTGAAGAGGTCTAGTCATAGAATTCAGAAAGTTGTTTGGGTCTACATCTCAGTGAATGATGGCTTTCCTACTAACCTTCGTACCCAGCATCCATTTTTTCAAATGCTAATAAGCAAAAACTAATACCTGTTGCACAAGATGTGTCTGTCGTTGCCCAGCAACCTAGTAGACAACGGCATGGAGTATGAAAGGCTTTCACTAGGTTAGAGTCTCAGTGGGATGTGGGAGGTGTTCAGTTATAGCTCTTCGGATTGAACTATTGTCGCCTGTTCTCAATAATGCTGGATCGCGTTCTGTAACACGTTTTGATAGAACATGAACAGACCGACCTGTGTGCCTAGCTCCACAAGAGCAGGTGAATTGATATATGCACATTGCAGCGGTCATATGGAGTGTCTGTCCTAAAAATTGATGAGAAACAGTGGTTGACTAGAGAGTATCACTCTTAGCGTTACTTCAGGTTAGGGCTTCTTTGGGGGACTAGAAATTCTGCCCCTCCAAACACCGCGCAGGGTATCCATTTTCGCCCAGAACGTTTCTGAGGATCAACAGCACTTCTTACGAGTAGTCAATACTGCACATTCTTGTGATATAGTAGTCAGGAGAAGAAAATTAAATAACAA